CTTCATAGATTCTGATTCCAACCAGTTTTTCTTCCTTTGTTCAGGAGCCTCTGACCAGGGTTGCTACCAGTCGGCCATCTTCCCAGAATCCTCGTAACTTTATTTCTATTATAATTTGATAGCTGACTTGATTCATTTCCTCAAATTCCCATTTTTAAAAATCTTAGTTCCCCTTGCCTGAGCCAGAGTGAGACCCCCGACTCCTAAAAAAATAAAAAACCCAGCTGGGCTCTGCAGCAAGCACCTATAATCCCAGTGGCTTTTGGAAGCTGAGGCAGCAGGATGCCCACAGCCCAAGTCTGAGGTTGCAGTGAGCTATGATGCCATTGCACTCTGCTCAGGGCATAGGGTGGGACTCTGTCTCAACAACAATAACAAACAACAACCAAAAAGAATGGATAAAATATGCTATCTCCTCAAGCCAGTGGTCCATATACCCTCCAAAAAGAAGAGCAATAAAAAAAAGAAAGGTAACATGATAAAAACACTTCTTTAAACTACAGAGAAAAACATATATGAGGATTGCCTTTATATTTTCAAGTCAACTAGTCATTTTGCAATTGTATTAAACAATAAAATAATTTAATTTTAACTCTAAAATAATATATGTGTCCAGAGTGAGAGTTTTCACTTTTACAGGGTGTCCTGGCCTAAAAACTGTCAGTACTGCAGAAGATGTGGGCTTTTGCACAAGTTGCAGTTTGATCCTTTCAGACCACATTATCCAAGTTCATTGCCTCCATATTACATGGTTTAGAAAAACCTAATTTCTAAAAGAATCTTACTTTTGTGCTTTTTGAGAACATATAGGGCAAGGCCTATTGAATCCTTGAGTTTGGAAGGCATTTCCATAGCCGTTTGCTTTGTTTTTCTTTCATTTTAGATATAAGCCTCCTTTTCTATCCCTCTCCTTCATTTTTCCGCCTCAAGCTATTCCCCTGAGTAGAGTGCTGTGGCGTCACAGCTCACAGCAACTTGTAACTCCTGGGCTCAAGCGAGTCTTCTGCCTCAGCCTCCCAAGTAGCTGGGACCACAGGCGCCTGCCACAACGCCCAGCTATTTTTTGGTTGCAGCTTTCATTGTTGTTTGGCGGGCCTGGGCTGGATTCGAACCTGCCACCTTAGGTGTATGTGGCTGGCGCCTTAGCCACTTGAGCCATAGGCGCCAAACCTCCACCTAAAAATATTTAAACATTTTTTTCTTGATGGTTGAATTTGAACTTTACTACAATAATAACTTATTTATATTATTAGAAATATTAGATTTCTAATTTTATAAATATAAATATGTGATTTTGTTGATCCCATTCATGTCTGTATTTCATATTTCATTTTTCACATGAACATCCATATTTTTCACATTGAACATCATATTGCAGTCAGCTATGGGAATTGCTTTTTGGGGGCTCCAGAGAATGGTACTAGAATGACCTTAGGTTGCCATTGGGTATGCATTCCACTACTAGGATGACCTGAGAGTTGTATCAGTGCCTTTCTGATACCACTTTAAAACTGTTCATAGGGCTTGAAGAAGTGGTTGAAGATAAAATCCTTAGTATTTCTTAGCAAAATAATATTTTGTTAACTGGTTATATACACACTGCTTTAATCCATGTGTTTTTCTCCCACCTTCCTTCCCCCCCTCCACGTAGATATCAGAAAAGAAAGGAAAAGAAACAAATCCTGGTTTTGGTGGACCAGTTGTTAGTTCTCTATATCATGAAGAAACCATCAGGTAATTTCTCTTCTGATCTATGTGTGTGTATTTTTATGTATGTGTGTGTGTAGTTGTTTATGTATATGTATATATATTTTTAAACCTTGAATCTTCAATTTGTGAAGCACTATTTCTTAACATGAAATTGATTTGATGGCATGTCTAGAAGGATAATTAATTGCAGGAAAGAATGTTTTAGGTGTATAATCTTTAAAATCAATAAATGTCTGAACCAGTGCCAGATATTAAATATCTTATACTTTTTATCAGTATCTGATAATAATTGTCTGAATCAGTGCCTTTCCCCCCAATCTTGTTTGTGAAATAAAAGCTTGCCCTGCCAGCTAAATCTGATTTTCCTCAAAATACTATTATTTCTTTTAAAGTTTAATTTTCATAATTTATTTACTTAAAATTCATTTAAATTTACTCTAAAAGTCATTTTAGAGTGTAAAATGGTAGTGTGAAGTTTCCTCAAAAAGTTAAATATTGAATTATCGTATTATTCAACAATTCCACTTCTAATTACGTATCCATAAAATTGAAAGCAGGATTTCAGATCATATTTGCACACCCCTGTTCATAGCAGAACTGTTTTCATATGATAGTTAAAAGGTGGATACAATCAAAGTGTCCATTGAGGGATGCATAGATAAATAAAATGTGGTGTATACAATGGAATATTATACAGCCTTAAAAAGGAAGAACATTTGTACACATGCAACATCATGTAAAAAACCTTGAGGACATTATGCTAAGTGAAATAAGCCTGTCACAAAAAGACAAATACTATATAGTTATACTTATATGAGGTATCTAGAGTAGTCAAGTTCATAGAAATAGAAAGTAAAACAGGGATTGCCAGCAGGTAGGAGGGGAAGTGGGATAGGGTGTAAGTTTTGCAAGATGAAAAAGTTCTGGAGATTACACAACAGTATGAAGATACTTAACACTACTGAGGTATAGTAATGGTCAAGTTGCTAAATTTTTACCATATTAAACAATGTTTTAAAGATCATTTTGTATTAAAACTCTTAAATTTTGTGTAAAATTTCTTGGATAATCTTTTTCTTTCTGGGTGGCAACTGTGGCTCAGTGAATAAGGTGCTGGCCCCATATACTGAGGCTGGCAGGTTCGAACTGCAACAAAAAAAAGCTGGGCGTTGTGGCGGGCACCTGTCGTCCCAGCTACTTGGGAGTCTGAGGGAAGAGAATTGCCTAAGCCCAAGAGCTGGAGGTTGCTGTGAGCTATGATCCTACAGCACTCTGCCAAGGATGACAGAGTGAGACTCTGTCTCTTAAAAAAAAAAAAATCTTTTTCTTTCAGCAGTATGTGTGTATAAATGAGAAGGATTCTATGCTGCTTTAAAGAGTCGTATGACATGTTCTTCCAAGATTGCTACTTTATACAAACTAAACAAAAAATGGGAGTCTCTGATGCTCTTACTCTGAGTTATCTGAGTGTTCCTTTACTTGTTAACATGAAATAATTGAGCTCTAATTTTCAAGTGAAAAACTGGGATCACCTAAATTTATTGAAGGGAAATACCTATCTTCATAGAATGAAGAGGAAATTATACCAGCAGTTTATGTTTCACACCTGCAGGAATGAGTTTACTGACATTATTCACCATGTAAAGAAATAGCAGTGTGAACTCCAGATGACATTGTAAGAGGAAAGTTATTGGTACCTCTATGAATGAAAAACTCAAAGTGCACCTAGTTTCTACTTACTGATCAAGTAGTCAGTTAATGGTATGGGACCTGTCTTGAATCTGTTTGCATAGCAAGCACCCATTTTTACTTACATTAAATGTTTATGAAGGATGGGAAGGCTGATGGAAGTTTGGGGGAAATAAAGATACTCTTTAAGGCTTCTTCTGGCCTGAAGTACATTTGCCACTCTGATTCTTGTGATAGACTCTGAGAACTCTGAGGAGCCCATAAAAGTTTTGAGAAAGCATAGCTTAAAAACCACTTCCAGAATTTTAACCCTTCCTTCAACCCCAGTATATTCAGAAAGTATTTTGGGGTCCTTAATTTGTATATTCTATCTTTAGAATCTTCTAAAAAATGGTATTTTATAACCTTAAACCCTACTAATCAAAATTTATGAAATGTTCAAATCACGTCAGGAAACCTTCAGAGTCATTTTACTAGGTAATAAGAGGGAGGCAGTCATTTCTTCTCTGTTTTCTGATAGTCTTTTGTTTATACTTTAGAATTTATCACATTATGCCAAATTAAATTTTAAAAATTATTATTTTTTTTTTATTGTTGGGCATTCATTGAGGGTACAAGATGTGTCACACCCTGAGACCCCACCCCACCTCCCTCCTTCCCCCTTTTTAAAAACGTTGTCCTCTCCACTAAATTTTTAGTTTTCAAAGGCAAAGATCATATTTTATCCATCTGTACAAGGTCCCAGAACTTAGTAGGTATCCAATAAAATTGCTCAGAACTTCAGAGATATCCACAGCTGCTTCCCTCAAAGAACTAAGTATTTAGTGAGTGTTGCTGAGGTAGAGTCAGCCTAATGGCCCAGTCCTAAAATAGGGAACTGCTGGTTTCTTTTTCCTGTTATATGTCCATTCTCAGCTCTTTCTCTGAACAATTAAAAACATTATGGACTATTTTTCTCTCCTAGTTAGATAAATAAACAAAACATAAGAGGAAAGATGAAGACAGAAGTGATTTTTTAAATAAGCTTAATTTTCTAATAGTATCAATCACTTTACAATAAATAATAATGATCTTTATTTTATGTGCTATTTTCCTTCAGGGCTCCCAGATTCTAGTATTTTTCTTTTTTTCTTTCTCTTTCTTTTTCTTTTTTCTTTTTTTTTTTTTTTTTTTGAGACAGAGTCTCACTTTGTGGCCCTTGGTAGATTGCCGTGGCATCACAGCTCACAGCAACCTCAAACTCTACGGCTTAAGTGACTCTCTTGCCTCAGCCTCCCAAGTAGCTGGGCCTACAGCCCCCCGCCACAACGCCCAGCTATCTTTTGGTTGTAGTTGTCATTGTTGTTTGGCAGGCCTGGGCTGGATTCAAATCTGCCAGCTCTGGTGTATGTGGGCACCCTTAGCTGCTGAGCTACAGGTGCCAAGCCAATTCTAGTATTTTTCAAAATGACATACTGAATACAGTTGCTTTTGGAACGTCTAATAGACACGACCACAGTAGCTCTACAGAACATGAAGCAAATCAAATGTATGCCAGTGAAGTGAGAGAAGAAATTGTGTGATAAACTGTATTGAAAGCTTTAATCTTGCAAGCCTTTTCTTTCACCCAATTCCTAAAGAAGTGACCTAAGTCAATATGTCGAATTTTGACCATGAGAAACAATGACAAAAAAATATATAGCTTATTTTTGTAAAGTATAGGTTTTAATTCAGCTTGACACATGTTTATTATGAATTTACAGTTGAGTGTATATTTCTGCTTCTTAGGTTTTTTTTTTTTTTTCCTCTCCTTTTCAGACAGAGTCTCACTCTGTTGCCTGAATTATAGTGCAGTGGTGTCATTAGAGCTCACTGCAGCTTCAAACTCCTGGTCTCAAGCAATCCCCCTGCCTCAGGTTTTCCCAAGAAGATGGGACTGTAGGTGCACACCGGGATGCCTGGCTAATTTTTCTATGTTTTGTAGAGATGGGGTCTTACTCTTGCACAGGCTACTCTCTGTCTCTCAAGCTCAAGCAAATCCTCCTACCTCAGCCTCCTGGAGTGCTAGGATTATAATCATAAGCCACTTCATAAGCCACTGTGCCCAGCCAATTGAAAGCCTTTTAACTGTTATTAACGGTAACTTTTTCACTACTACAGCAGATCAGAAATCACAGCAACTAGTGAGATTCTTATATTGAGGGAATTCATTTTTTAGTGTAACAGAAATCCATTATAACAAATTAGATAACAATAAAAATTTTTACATATTAAAATGTCCGATTATTCCAGTGTATGGCCAGATGTAATCCCTGTGGTTTCTTAAGCATCAGAATGCAACTGGAACAATGAAAGATTATTTCTTGAATTTTGCTTGTATTTTGGTGAAACCTGGTGTTTTCTTTTTCTAGAGAAAGTTGTACTTTAATTAATGTTAATTGTAATTCTTAGCAGAATTATGTTCAGCTGAGGTGAAAATGATGTTAGATTTTAGAGTTTTAGAAACATCAAATGGTAAACTTGATGAAAAGAAAAAGTTTTCTATAGAACCATTGTTTTGGGGTTATAAATAATGTATTTTAAAGGTTGTTTTAGATTCTTCAATATATAAACTCCAAATTTTTTTCACATTTATCAAGATCAGAAAAATCAATAACCAGTAGTTTCACTTGATTAGGCTTGGGTTCCATGTTGTGGCAGGTTTTCTGACTAATGTGTATTATAGATGATAAGTTAAGAGCCCATTTTAGCTTTAACATAAATATTCTTGAGCCAAGGGCCATTGGGGCCGATTCTGAGCTTGCTTCCTGCCTTTTTGGTTCTGACCTTTATTTCTCCTCTGTCATAGAAAGTGACAATATAATGTCACAGGGACAGATCTATGTGTTAATATTCCAGAGCCCTGACACCAATTCACCAATTTCTCATTCCGAAGTTAATTTTCTATAATATGATAGAAGTATAGTGTGAGTCTAATTAAGAACAAAATTACAGAACCATACTTCTGGCATTCAAATGCTGGTTCCTCCTCTTACTAGATATGTGACCTTGGGCAAGTTATGTATCTATAAATAGGGATAATTATAGTACCTGTCATACATGATATTTACATGGATTGTATGATTATCTGCACATGGTACAGTATCTGGTATAAAATAAGTTACTTTATAAATGTTAGCTTTTATTAGTATTGTTACTTAGCATAAGGCATCTCTACAGAGAAGACCAAGCTAATATCATGTCATTCTGGCTATAGAATTAGGGGTAAGTTGTTTGCATTTGCAAAAGAAAATGGAAAACATAAAAGGGAGCGAATGTTATTAGACCTGTGTTTGGAACTATAGAAACAAAAGACA